TGTCAACTAAGCCACCAAATTCTGTCAAGTCTCTCTTTGTTATATCTCTCTAGGATGTCCTTCTTCATTTCATGGCCACTACCAGGATCAGGAAGATCACTAGCAGCCCAGGACCTTGGTCTGCCCTTCACCTTTCTCTCCAGTCCCAAAGGAAAAGGCAACTTGGATTCATCATGTCAGTCCCTGTGCCCTTGTATCAAAACCCCAAACAGGTGCCCCTTACTAACTGGTCACAGTCCAAACTCCTTAGCTCGACACTTAGGGTACTCCTAAGAGGCAAGGGAAGAAAGAATCAAAGGGGAGGACCGCAAAGAGATACCCTGTGAAGTCTCTGGAGAAGTTCCATCCAAATAGTCTTCACCTTTTCTGTAGAGCAGAAGAGCCATTTACTAAAACTCAGGGTGGAGTTGGGATTGGGCAATTAGAAAGACTTTAGAAGTCCAGCAGGGGTGCAAGATTGCAGAAAAGATAGCTTGAACAGCACTGTAATTTTATAATTTTAAAAGAGTGATTTAAATTGAGTTTTTGTTCTTAAATTATGTTTTATAACATATATACATATATCCATCATGTATATTCCTTTGTACATATCAAATGTCAGTTTTTAATTTTTAAATATTTTTACAAAAATGAAGTCCTAGAACGGTCACTAGGAACCCAATAGGGAATCAACAATAAAAGGCATAGGAAATTAGTATTTGTGAGTGTTTACTATGCAAGATGGATCTATTACTTGAGATGGGGAAACTGAGGTTCAGAGAGGTCCAGTGCTTGCCTATAGTAACATAGCTAGAGAGTGTTAGATTTGGAATTTGAGTCCATGTACGTTTGACTCCAAAGTTTGTCTCAAGGTAATACTAGAGTGAATTTGCATGGTTTAAACATAATCTTAATTGTCAACATGAGCTCATGTTGGTATGAACAATTTGCCAGAGTTGCGATGTCCAGTGTCCACCATACAAAATGGCAGTTAGGGGAACCATCTTTCTTTGAGGACCTCCCTCTCTTCTCTCACTTTAGAAAGTTGTTTCTTTCTTACTCTCAGTTGCTGCTTTCAGACTCACTCCTTCCAACTTTGGCCTCATCTGTTACCTCATTTGTAATGGGGCAGGGGCTCCCTCAGAACACAGGAGGAGAGGAGGAGTGAGTAACCTGTTTTGGAAGGAGAATCCACAAGTGGGCAGCAGCATGAGGGGCTCCTGCTAGGAAAAGCAGGTGTGGACAAAAGGGATGAGGGAAGCTTTGGGTCAGGAGGTGGGATGAGACTCAGAATAGGCAACACTTCACAGTCAGAGGAGTTGGCTGGAAAGAGTAGAGACACTAATAATGCTCATGGCAGGATTGCAAGTGACATTTCAGTGTTCAAGCCCCACAAGGCTGAACAATTTCCATGAGTAGTGGGGCACCTTGTAGCTGGATGGTTCAGACCACAGAGGAGAAATCCAGGAGAGGGATTGAGCTACCTCCCCTCAGCGGATCATTATTTAGATATACCACTTCCTTTCAGTAAATTCAATATACACAAACTCACATTTACAAGACATAAGTTAGGGGATGCTTAATCACATTACTAAAGGATTCTTTCCAGGATTTCTTTAACTAGGTGGTTCCTCTAGTACCTTTCCAATTGGTTCCAATGGATAGAAATTCCATTAACACTCAATACATCATGATAGGGGAGAGGCAACAGGGCATAAGGAAACAACCAGGGACCAGGAGCCTGGAGGCCTGGGTCTTAGTCCTGTCTGTTGTCTTGGAACCCATTCCCTAACTGTAAAGTGAGGACTAATTCTGGACCACCTCTAAATGCCTTGACTTAAGTCCTGGTCTACCTCCATCCAATCCTATAAAGCAAAATAGACCTGTGTGTGGAAGGCTTCTGATCCTCCTACTCTGCTGAAAACAGCCAGCAAGCCAGCAAGCCCCTCACCCTCAGAAGCCCAGCGGGGCTCCATCTGTCCTGGAGCTGTGCTCTGCTTCTCCCCATTCCACTCTAATCTCCAGCTATGCTCATTTGCCACATCCACTGCCTCAACCATGTCCTCCCTCTGCTCTGAGTCTTCTAGGGCTTCATCTCCTTTCAGTTCACAGAAATTGTTATAATCTACCAGAATGGCCTCTCTGTTCCATTAAACTCATATTGTCAACCATCTCCTATTTTCCCCATCATGCTTCCTCTCTCATCTCCAAGATTTTGCCCAAGAAGTCTCATGAGCTTGCTCAAGGAAGCCTTTCCAGATTGGTTGATTGCAGGGCTGCCACATACAGTTGTACAGCTTGTATACTGCACAAAGGCACCCTGAGGGGACAAATTGAGGGCTGAACTGCATTCAGCTTGCCAATGCTTGCACCCTGGCTAAGAGCTCTGTCTACTAGAGGGATTCCCCTTTTTATTTTTATTTTTTTGCCCAAAAGTACCACTTAATCTCCAAGCTACATGCCATAATAAATGCATCTGCCCAGAGAGGGCTGCTCTTTCTATTTGGTACCAGGGTTCTTTACAGACCAGCAATGTGGCCCCAGCTCTGCCCCTCCTGCCCTCAACATTCTCCAGTTCCAAACCCAGTCTCCAAACCCATCGTCACAACTGTACTGACATATTTTATTGATTCCTTGTAAAGTTGTTTTCTTTATCTCATAATACCTGAAAGCTGGGATCTTGCCTATTTTTCTGTATCCTGGTACCTAAGAAAACTTTTTTTTCCTTATTCTGTTCAAGCGCAATGATAAACAAGGAATTGAGGTTAGATACGAGGTAAAGTCCAGGACCTGCAGGATCAGTAAATCAGGGGAGGGGTGGTGGTCCCTTCCTTGTCAGCGAGGCTAGGCTCAGGGCAGCCTGGACTGAGGCAGGGGGCTGGCTGATACATCTTGAGGAGGGCCCTGCAGCCCTGTGATTTCCCCCTCCAGGAAAGGGGGCCAGTTCTATGCAAATGCGTTCTTGCCCAGGAGTTTGGTTTCTCTTCTCTGAGCTCCTGGCACAGTAGAACCAACGTGAGCAGCCGCTTGGCAGGACAGAGAAGGGCTAGCAGTCCTGAGGCTCAGGTGACAGGGCCAGGCCCAGGAGACGGGGATGTTGACTGGGGCTTTAACAGCCCTCCTGATGCCAATCTCGGGCTAAAAACTTGATATTTCCACTTGGAACAAGAAACATGGGCAAGAGGGCTGGGCAGAGGAGGGCAGTGTAGCAGGAGTGCCCCCTGCAGGTCTCACTAGGTGGCGCCAGAACAGAGGACTGAGGCAAAGCCTGGGTGGGGATTTCAGGAGATGCCAAGGATGAGGCTGATGATGATGAGAAGGAAGATATAGCTACCATTAACCGAGTACTTACAATGTGCCAGGCATTGCCTCATGTAATCCTCATGACAACCTCCATGAGATGGATAATATGGTTATTCTCTTTTCTTAGATGAAGAACTGTTTAGAGAGGTTAAGTACCTTGCTCAAAGTCACCCAGCTAGTAGTGGACAGAGTTGGGATTTGAACCCAGGTCACTGCCTGAGTACCACATTTCCCACCTTGCCAGGTCATTCCAGGAGCTTCTAACCCTCCAGTGTCCATTTCTATGTCTTCCTGCTTCCCTGGCTCATATCTTCGTGTTCCAACTTTGAGGAATCTGGAGAAGAATAGATCAATATCTTGAGTATGGTAATGCTGATAAAAACACCACCACCCGGCATTTGTGTACCACTCTCTGCTTTTAATTGTTTCCCTGGGGAAAATGAACATTGAAGTATTGCCATCTCTCCAAATATTTTATGATTTTTATCAGTGTTCCTGCAGCTATATCTATACAGTTCTGACCAATGTATAAAAATATTTTATGCTCTTTTTTATGTAACAGTGTGCCTACGTGCACATTTACATATACAAACATAGTAACTGATTATATTGATACACCACAGACACTACATTGCTGGGGCGGTCTGACTTTGTGAAAGAGCGTGGAGGGGGTGACACAGATGTGTGAGTTTGACTACTATCTCTGCCAATATCCAACTCTGTGACATCTGCTAAATCACTTAACCTTTCTCAGTTTCAGTTTTCTCATCTATAAATGAAGAAAATAATACCTATCTCATAGGGTATCACACAGGGTTGTTAAATGAGATGTGTGTCTAGTTCATAGCTGAGGCTCAATGGATTGTTATAAGCAGTGTTAGTTTTATGTGTCTATGTGCCTTTCTTCCCCACTGGACCATGAGCTCCTCTGGGCAGGGACTTATCCATTTCTGTAACCACCCCTACCTAGCACATTGCCTGGCACTTAGGCTCCAGAAAAGTTTGTTGAATGAATAGTTAGTAAGACTTAACCTAGCCTTTCTCTCTATTGGCCATTTGGGTTGTTTCTAGACCTTTGCTATTAACAAAATACACTTCAAAGCCCTTCTATTTATATTGCCTCATTTGATCTGCACACCCTATGAAGTAGGCAGAAAGGGGCTTTTTGCACATGGCCACACTCTGTGAAAGGTGGAGCAACTATGGCTAAGGGAAGTGAAGTGACTCCTGTGGGTCACATCGCAAATCAGGGAAAAAGATTAGAACCCCTGACCCTGCCTCCCTTCCTTGGGTGGATCTCTTTTCCCTCTAGCTACCTCTTTCTGGATCAGGGTGGCCTCTCCAAAAATGGAGACTGTGTTGGTGGGCCTGACCTGAGAGCAGCATCTGCACCCAGAGGCCCCTGTTGGAGGTGATGAGCTGCCAGCTCCCAGATGGCCTTCTGAATCCCCAGGAAACCAAACACATCAAGGCCCGTATTTTCCCAGAGCCAGGAGGTTCTTAGGAAAGAGCCAGTGTGCCAGTTTTTCTTTCTTTTTTTCCTGATGGGGTGAGGAGGCGAGCTCTGAGTTGTCCAGGAGGAGGGACTTTGGCTAAAAATAGCTATGGCGTGTGGATCAGTCTCTAGTGGTACCCAGGACTGGGGAGGGGAGGGGGATGCTCTAGAGCTGTCGCCAGACTGGTTGCTGTGGAAACAGGAGAGGAGCAGGGGAGCCTGGGAAGTGGGGATGACACAGATAGCAAGTCCTAGTCAGAGCTGCCGCTACATTTAGGAGAAACAGCAGTGCCTGCGGCTCCCACCCTCCAAGGGGGTTGGGGGGGGGTGTCAGGGGCATGGACGCTACCCCCCAGGGGTCTCTGCTGCCGGCTACTCTCCTCTCCACACGCTGTGAGTTGAGTTGCGGGGGACTTGGGTTTGGGCCCCTGTTTCCAAGGCAAGTGGGGGTTTGGGAAGAGCTGGTTCCTGAGGGAGTTTTCACCAGATCCCCTTCCAAAAAATAAGCCCCATTGCTGGCCAGCATTCCCTAGGGGGAGAAAGGAAGATCCAGGAAAATGTGGCCCTGGGGTCTTCTGGAGAAGGGGCACAGCACGCACAAGAAATAAGGAGGAGTAGGCTGCAGGAACAGGAATCTTTGGAGGGAAGTGCAGAAATCAAGTCTTTGATCCGGGATAGAGGGAACAATCTCACACCTTTCCTACCCCATTGAGAAAAATGCAGCCCCCACTCAGGAAGACAGGAGACAGGACAGAATCCAAGGAAGGCTCACCTGGATCCCTGAGGCAATGGAGAGCGAGAGTCATGGGGGCCATCAGATTCTGGGCTTCCCTCCCCAGCCCTGGGCAAAGAGATCTGTCTAAGCAGGCAGATTGGGGGTCAGGTCACCTAAGACCCTGAGAGAACATCTGGAAGCCCACCTGGGGCTGAAGGTAGGATGAGAGGGACCCAGGTACTCTTCTGCATGACCTGGGGTCTCTGAGCCAGTCAATGCCTATAGATCACTTCTCGAGGACATCCTGGGCTGCAGCGAAGGAAACGAAGCCCATTGTGGGGGAGGGGAAGACCCTAATCTGCCATTGCACTGGGGCTCCTGGACCCTGTGTCCCCTGACTCCTCCTGGAAAATAGATGTGAGGGGTGTCCCTAAGCTCCAAGCCATCTCTTTTTGGTTTTTCCTGCCCTTTACCCCAATACACACACACACAGACACATTCACACACACACACACTCACATTCACACAGACGTCTGGCTACAGAGCACGTCACTCCAGAACTGAAATTCTGGAGCTCTGGGTTTGGAGTTAGATATTCAGGTGGTTTCTCCCCAGGACCTGGTCAAACATCCAGGCCTTCTGTGATCCTTGTCACACTCCTCCTTTCTACCACCCCACCCCCTCCACCACCCTCCCCAGCCAGCCCAGGTTTCCCTGGAGTGAGGGGACAGGATGATTCCCAGGAAGAAGGGAAGGTTGAAGAGTCCTGAATCCTTCTTCCAAACTTTTCCTTGTAATGGTCTGTACCTCCTAGCAGCCTGTGGTAACTAGGGAAGGCTCTGGATCTGTCTCTCAGGGCAGATTACAGCTCAAAGAGCTCCTCAGGGGGAAAATTTTGAAGGAAAATCAGGTGGGCTTTCCTTAGAATGTGAGCTTTGGGGCATATGGCTGGGAGCTGTTATAATCATAGTCAATGGGTAGTAGGAGGCTGGGGGAAAGGAATGCAGGGAGTAGGGAGGTCAATGTGGGTGCTTAGGCTTCACTTGATCTGATTTACTGTGTCTCAAGAAGAACAGGATACCAGAGGGATATGAGCCTAACTCTTGATGAACTTTGTACTTCCTTCACCCCAACAGTCTGTGTTGATCTCATATCCTCCATCCCTCCTGCCCATTTTCAGGCTGTCTCCACTGTGGAAAGAACCGAGGGGAAATGGGGCTGACACCACAGCAGCAATACTCATGGTTAGTCTTCAGGGAGGATTTCCAGTGGGAATTTCCCAATGTGGGAATGCTCAACCCTTGCTCACTGGCGATTTTTCACTTACTTTCCACGGCTTTCATTTCCTTCTCCTTCCTAAGCTTGCTGAGAGGAGGAAGATGTGGGAGGGGGGAGAGTAAGTGAGGTGCAGGGACTGAGGAAAGGGACAGACTTTCTGTGTCAGTCTTGGGGTGAACATCAGAAGAGCCTGGTTAGCCGTCAGGCTGAACTGTAGAGAGCAGTGATTAGGGCACGATCCTGACATTAGCCAGGGACGGGGCGGGGGAGGCCTTAGGGCGGGGAGGGCTACACACCTTACAGGAAGATTACCCTGCCTGCTTCCGAGGAGCCCACAGCCTTACGATTTCAGGAAACTCCCTCCCTGCCTGGGCCTTTTCCCGGGGGATGCTAGTGAGGGACTGCACGCCTCAGCGGTGGTAGGACAAAGATCCGTGGTACTTCCTTCCCCTGGAAATAATCATCCAACTTCCATAGTGCTATCCAGTTCGTATACATTATCGTATTGATCCTCACGATCTTGTGAGCTGGGGGCAACTGGGGTTGTGCGTATTATTCCCTTTCTACTGATGCGGAAAATGAGGCTGAGACACACGAAGGGACTCGCTCAGGGCCACCTAGCCACTCGGAGCTGGCCCGGAGGTCTCCGCTTCTCCCGCGGGTCGGGTAACCCGACCAATCTTTAAGTCCCTCCAGGATCCCCGACGCCGCCGAGGCGCCCAGCGAGAGGCGGTGAGCCCGGGCCCCCGCGCGTCTGCAGGCGCCCGCCGCGCTCGCCCTGAGCCGCCGCCGCCGCCATGGCGCAGGAGAACGCCGCCTTCTCGCCGGGGCCGGAGGAGCCGCCGCGGCGCCGCGGCCGCCAGCGCTACGTGGAGAAGGACGGCCGGTGCAACGTGCAGCAGGGCAACGTGCGCGAGACGTACCGCTACCTGACCGACCTCTTCACCACGCTCGTGGACCTGCAGTGGCGCCTCAGCCTGCTCTTCTTCGTGCTCGCCTACGCGCTCACCTGGCTCTTCTTCGGCGCCATCTGGTGGCTGATCGCCTACGGCCGCGGCGACCTGGAGCACCTGGAGGACACGGCGTGGACGCCGTGCGTCAACAACCTCAACGGCTTCGTGGCCGCCTTCCTCTTCTCCATCGAGACGGAGACCACCATCGGCTACGGGCACCGCGTCATCACCGACCAGTGCCCCGAGGGCATCGTGCTGCTGCTGCTGCAGGCCATCCTGGGCTCCATGGTGAACGCCTTCATGGTGGGCTGCATGTTCGTCAAGATCTCGCAGCCCAACAAGCGCGCCGCCACGCTCGTCTTCTCCTCGCACGCCGTGGTGTCGCTGCGCGACGGGCGCCTCTGCCTCATGTTCCGCGTGGGTGACCTGCGCTCCTCGCACATCGTCGAGGCCTCCATCCGCGCCAAGCTCATCCGCTCGCGCCAGACGCTGGAGGGCGAGTTCATCCCGCTGCACCAAACCGACCTCAGCGTGGGCTTCGACACCGGCGACGACCGTCTCTTCCTCGTCTCTCCGCTTGTCATCAGCCACGAGATCGACGCCGCCAGTCCCTTCTGGGAGGCGTCACGCCGCGCCCTCGAGAGGGATGACTTCGAGATCGTCGTCATCCTTGAGGGCATGGTGGAAGCTACGGGTGAGGGCAGGCCCAGGAGGGGAGCGGGGTGGGCAGGGAAGTGGCTTTAGAGGGTCCAGGGTCGCGGGAGGGCAGGGTCGAGAAAGTCGGACAAGAAGAGGGACCAGGGAGGTGGCGAGGACTGATGGAGAGGCTGGTGGAGGATGAGAGATTGAGGTGAGATGGGGAACCTGGGTTGGGAGGGGTGTGTGAACCGAGTGACCCCGCAGAGAGCCAAGAGAACGCTTGGAGGAATTCTCTGAAGTGTCCTCAGCCTGGGGCCCTGGGCTGAGAGGTCTGTGTCACTGGGACTAGGGGAGAGTACTAATAACAGCTGACACTCACCCAGTGCTTACTCTGAGCTGTTCACAGCTCCAAAGGACTTTACACCCCTGAGTTCATCTGATCTTAACAAGAACCTGATGAAGGGAACTTCTTGTTATTGTGCTCATTTTTCAGAAAGGAGATTGCCCCAATGATAGGTTAAATAAGTTGCCACAGTCATAAGCTAAATAAGTGGCCACACCCCTTGTAGGCATGGATAGGACATAGGCAGTCTGGCTTCGGTGTTCAGTGGTCCAGCATTGGAAGGAGGAGTTAGGTTCGGTGGTTTTCTCATTGCTGAGAGGTCTAGGGCCCTGGAATTTGGTGGTGAGGGTTTTCCATGACCTGAGTTATTCCTAGGCTGGAACTTAGGGAGAGGTCTCACTTCTGCCTCGGTTTCCCCATCCATGAAAAGATTCTCAACTTCCACTGACAAAGGAAATAGATGATCTTAGCATTTCTAGCCCCTTCCCCCAAGGAACTGGCCACGCACCTGTCATGTCAGTACCTCCAGCTCAGGCTTGCACAGTGAAGGGTTTGGGAGCAGGTAGGAAAAGGCCAGGCCATTTGCTGCCAGTGGCAGCAAATGTGGTCCTTTGAGACTTGAATCTAGAAGTGGGAGGAGGATAAGCAAACCACAAGTGGATAACCAAAGGCCCACGAGGGGGCCCTGCAGTTCCTGCCACTGTTGCCAGAGCTGTTGCCCTCTGCTGGCTTCTCCCACAGGCTATACTTTCCAACCCCTTCCCTGGCTCTTCACGCTGAGCCTCTACTTCACCACCCTATGCCCCAGTGAGCCCCATTCCTTCTTCACTCCCCCATGCCCCGTCAGCTCCTTCCCCTTCCCCCACTCACCCATTCCCTTTCCTCTCTCTCTCTCCAGTTGTCACTCCCTTGCCATCACCTGAGGCAGCCCCTCTCCTTACAGGGAAGCCCTTGCCCACCTGCCTTTCCCTTTGTACCCCCAACCCCTCCCTCTCCACCTCACAGCCCCTCTCTCCCCAGTGTCCCTTTTGCCTCTTCTTCCCCTCCTCCACTGGATCCTTCCTATTCCAGCCTTCACCAAAGGAACCAAGAATACCAATGTCCCCAAGATGTCTCGGGACGGGGCTTTCAGTATTGAGAGCCAGTCTCTCGTTAGCTCATGTTCACTCTTCCGTTCCTCCCTTTTCTGAGGTCACCAGGGGCTGGAGGGAGATCCTAGGGTAGGAGGAGAATCGCTTGCTTTGGTGGGTGAGCCAACCCAACAGGGAAGACAAGACACAGGCCCAGGGAAGGAGGACTGGGGGTGGGGGTGGAGGAGACAGGGATGGGAGTGTGTCTGATTTTTCTAGAGAGACAAAGCTGGAAAGGATGGTAATATTTTGGGTGAGAGAGTCAGGATCCAAAATGCTTTTGAAAAGCAAGTATAATGAGCCAAAACCCTTCAAGATGACATTTAAAAGGAATAAATATAAAATTCTACATTTAGGCTTTTAAAAAATCACTTATGTAAGCACAGCATGGAAGAGCTCTGGTGAAAAGAGAACTAGGGGTTTTAGTTGGCCACAGGCTTAATGTTGTAGCAATGTGATGCAGCTTCCAAAAATGTTTATGTAATGTAATCTTGGGCCCTATTAGCTAAAGCATCATGGCCAGAAAAGAGAGGTGGTAAGCCCTCTCTTATGCATGGATCAGGCCACAATTGGAGTATTTATCACACTCAAAATGTGTAAAGGATCCTCCGTCACCATTCTGGTTTGCAGTCAAGAAAGTAAAATTTTTGGAAGGCAGGTCACATGAGGAATGGTGGAGGGAGACAGGGATGTTCAGCCTGAAGAAGAGAAGACATGAGAGAACCTGAGACTCCTGTATTCAGATACTCGAAGGGGTGTCATATGGCAGGGGAATGAAACCAAGGGGTGGAAATCCCAGAAGGCAGATTTTAGCTCTTTATAAAAAAGAACAACCCAACCATTAGAGCTATCCCACAAAGAAGTGGGCTCCTTGTGAGGTAGTGAGTTCTCAATTCTGGGAGGTAATCAAGTACAAGCTAGTTGCCCATTATTGGGAATGCTCCAGTGAGGAGCCCTGTATGGAGAGAGAAGTTGAACTAGATCGTCCCCAAAGTCAGTTTCAAGGTTAAGCTTCTCTGATTGGCATCTCCAGTGGAGAGGAGGGGAGAGCATGGGCTGGAGATTAAGAGGAGTTGGGACAAATGGAGAAGAGAACGAGGGAGCTGGGCAAGTACAGGAGTTGGAAAGAAGGAGAAACTGGGCTGGACCAAAGTGGGGTGGAGGCCTTTGGGGAGAAATATAGGGCAGGGTGCTGGGAAGAGGGATATGGAATGAGAGGCGGGAGAAGGAAGCCCCTGACCCATGCCCCTCCCCCCAGGAATGACATGCCAAGCTCGGAGCTCCTACCTGGTGGATGAGGTGCTGTGGGGCCACCGCTTCACATCAGTGCTGACCCTGGAGGATGGCTTCTACGAGGTGGACTATGCCAGCTTCCACGAGACCTTCGAGGTGCCCACACCCTCCTGCAGTGCCCGGGAGCTGGCTGAGGCCGCGGCCCGCCTTGACGCCCATCTCTACTGGTCCATCCCCAGCCGGCTGGATGAGAAGGTGGAGGAGGAGGGGGCCGGGGAGGGGGCAGGGGGAGGGGCTGGGGCTGACAAAGAGCAGAATGGCTGCCTGCCACCCCCAGAGAGTGAGTCCAAGGTGTGACCAGTTTCCTCCAGACCCCTGTGGCAGGGCCAGACACAGGCACCTGGGGAGCTGAATATTGGAGGTGGAGAAGGAGGCAAGGCCCCTGGGAATGCACTGAAGCTGGAGAGGCCCCCTCAGAATCTCGAGTCTCTGATCCAATACAGAAAGGATGGCTCCTGATTTCAGGAGAATGGAGGGTGAGGATGAGTGAACTTACCAGCCTGTCTGTGTTTGACTTCACATCTGTTCATGGGTGGATGGATAGACAGAAGGATGGACGTATGTGGATGGGATGGGAAGGTGGAAGCAAATAGACAGCTGATGGATAGGTAATGGACCAACAGACAGGTGTACACTCAGGGCTGCTGCTAACCCACAGAGCATCTTTGTGCAAATTCTAAAAAGTCACCCTTTTCCTCCAGACCGACGCCGCCCCAAACCAGGGTGCATGGCTTGGGGAGCAGAGTGTGGGCTGGAGTTTAGTCCCCACTCACCTCCTCAGCCATCCTCCCTGTGTCTGGCACACCTGTCTCACTGGACACAGTAGCCCGAGCAGCCCAGAGGAGAGGAAGGTGGACAGAGGTGGGCAGAGATGAGGAGGACGCCCTCCCAGCTCCACCCCCACCACTGTGACACACTGAGCAGAGGATGAAAGGCTGCGGGGGTGGTTCAGCGGGGTGTGAATGACCTTGTCCACAAGAGCAGGGAAACAGGCAGTGGGGGAGATGCCCGAGCTGGGGCCCTGGAGCAGGACCTGGGAAAGGAGAACAAGAGATGGCTATTTTCTGACAGTGGAGTGAGATCTCATAAGTATCACTGCAGAGGCAGGAGGTGAGAGGGAGGTTTTGAGGAGGAAGAGCCAGGGAGAGATGGAGAAAATGAGTTCACTAGAGGTGGGACACAGGGGCCCTTGGGAAAGCAGAACTAGTCTTGGGGCACCATGAGAGGGAGTCATTCAAATCGTTCCTTGGGTGCCCAGTGAGTACAGAGCACTGACCCAGGCACGTGTGGGGTGGACAGTCAGAGACTTGATTCCTTTCCTCAGAATACAGTGTGCATGGATGAAACAGAGAAATATGCCCGTGGCAACTGAACAAGGTATGGTTGAAACTGAGAACCTGAGCAATCTCTCGAAGCAGGGGGTGGGAGGGTTTGGTAATCAGAAAGCTAGGGATTGAGTAAGCATAGGGAATGATCTGAGCCAGCAGTAATAAAACTTGAGTGGGCATCAGAGTCACCTAGAAGACTTGTGAAAACACAGATTGCTGGGCCCCACTCCCAGAGCTTCTGACTCAGTACGTCTGGGGCGGAGACCAAAACTTTGCATTTCAGACAAGTTCCCAGGTCCTGCTGATGCTGCTGGAATGGGGACCACACTTTGGAACCACTGCTCTGAGCAAAGACATGGAGGTCATCTCAGGAGGTGGGGCATACAAGCTGAGCAGAAGCTAGGGTCCTTGGGGGAGGAGACTGAAATATAAAGCGTGGAGTATTGGGTGAGGAGGAGGGACCCTGAAACCCGGGCTAAAGGGTCTAACTCTGGGCCCAGGGACTCACCCATCAGTGGAAATAAGGCAGTGACAAACTGGCGATAGTGTTTCAGGAAGATGAGTAGGCAAGACAGATAGGATGAAGCAGTCTGGAGGCCTTGAGGGGATTCCTAGGGAGTTGGTGGGGAGCTGGAACAGGAAAGGCATCAGTGGCAAGGGATCAAATCGCTTGTAGGGCTTAAGAGGCAGGATTCAAAGTGGGAGACAATGTGAGAGAGAAGCGAGGAGTCCAGACATCTGGATGTGCCTGTGGCCTGCTGTCCGCCTAGCTGGGACAGGAGCCCCTGGAGACACATATCCCCATCCCACGTCCACCCCCTTCCTGGTGTCATCCCAGTCACGGGGCAGCCCCCGGATGGTGAGGGGACAGCAGTGGCAAGTTGAGAGGGGGCAGAGGCAGAGGGGACCTGAGGCTGGCCTCCTGGGAGAAGTGTTATGTCCAGGCAGGCACACCCTCTGACAGCACTGGCCCAGCAGTGACCTCCATGCCTTGGCCCTGGCTACACCCCGCCCCTGTCCTTTAATAAAAGTCTGAGCCCCTTGGGGGAAAGCACCTCAGTCTGCTCCATTCCAGGCTGGGAAGCTGGGGTCCTGTGGGACACTGTGCCTCCTGGAAGCAGGAAAGGGGTCACGGAGGGAGCCTATGCCAGCTTGGGCCCACTCAGAGAGGATCTCTTTGCCTTAGGCCACAGGGCTAACTGGGTCACTATCAGTCAAAGATGAGGTCTCTGCACCCTGGTGTCGGCTGTTCCCCCAAGAACAAATGCTGAAGTGTGGGATGGGGAGTCATTTTGGTTTAATTCAATGAAAAAGGTAGAATCTGGACAGGAGGGAGTGGGCCTCCTGTCACACACACTCACCTAGTAGTTAACCCATTGTAACTGCACGGGCAGAGAAACTAAGGCTGGATGGAAGTCACTGAGACCCCACCACACCTCTCCTCACCACTCAGTCACCGCTCAGGGCACCACTGTGTACAGTGCAAGGAGTCAGGAGCCCTGGGTTCCAGTCTTGACACTGTCACTAATTAGCTCTGTGACCTTGGGCAAGTCACATCGCTTCTCTGGGCCTCAGTTTCCCCTTTTGTAAAAATAACACTTAGCAAACTAGTGATGCTCAATAAATGTTTAAATAACTGAATTGACAGAGGTAGACTGGGTGCCTCTTAAGGTGCAACGCAGCTAAGACTTTGAGGATCAGAGAATCCTTAGGCAGAGACAAATTCGGGGAGACGCTAGGGCACTGGAGAAGGGTGAGGCAAGGCTTGGGGGTGCATGCAGGCCATGGGGGCAGGTGTGTGCAGGGGCTCTGTGGACACACAGGCTTTCCCCTGACTGCTGTGCCACACAGGGGCTATGCTCTGGGGCTTCTATTCTGCTGCTGTCAGACAGAAGAATGAGGATCAGGAGGAAAAAGGCAGAGGCCCCAGGGCCTGGTGGGAGGAGTCAGGCCCAAGACCAGCCAGACCAGGAGAATGAGGTGGGCAGAGGGGTGCGGGGCACTCAGAAAAGGGCACTGGCCCTGGCAGCCCCAGCCCTGTGATGTGAGAGAAGGCTGGGAGAGGGGACCAGGCTAAGCTGGAACTCGACCCCCGTTTCTGTGCTCCCCTCCACGAGTAGGAGTCCCAACAGCGAGTGGCTTGGCACTGGCAGCTCAGGCAGCAGATGGGACCCAGGTGTCCTCTCCTTGGGTGGGTGGCATGGCCCACGGAGGCCAGATGGTGTTTATGGTGGGAAGGGAGGCCCAGGTCATCCAGAATAGGTTGTCAACCCCCCAACAACCTCCCTGCCACATATCCAGCCTTTTACAGCCTCATGGCAGGGAAGACACAGCCAGCCCTGGATTTTATAAAACAAGTTTATTCACATTTTAGAAAAACTAATTCTAGGTCAGGGAATGGCCTCCCTGTGGGCTGGGTATGAGATCAAGAACAGAAGGCCAGAGGGAGGGGTTAGGGAAGGAAGGAGTGGGGTATGGGGGCCATGTCCCCCACTCTGGGTAGGGGTAGGTCAAATAAATTAAAAGAAGGGCAGACAGAGGGAGAGGGTATCCAGGCAACCAGAGCAGGCTTGGAGCTGGGCTGGAAGACGGTCAATACCTGCAAGAACTGGAGAGAGAACCCTGAGTGGGACTCCCTCCTGGCCCTCACCCCGTCAACAGTCCTGCAGAACTGAGAGCTGGCTGTTCTTCCTCCAGGTGGGGCCGGGGGGAACAGCTCATCTCAGGGCTGGTGAAGACAAGGTGGGGGGTCTTCTCCCTCACCTGGGGAGCCAAGGATCACCGTTTTCGCAGCCTCTTCATGAAGCAGCAGGTGATGGTGCCGAGGACGATGGCGCCGGTGACTAGGGCAACCCCTGCACCCACCAGCAGGGGCACGAGCAGGGTGTCCAGGGCTGGGTGAGAGGAGGGCTGTGTTCAGCCTGGGTGCCACTGCCCTCCAGCCACTGTCCCACTTGTGTCCCAGCACCTTCCCTATCGAGTTGTCTGCACCCACCTCCTCCCCCATTCATAGACAGCCCTCCCCTGTCCACTCCCTGCCCTGTCCGCACTCAAGTCAGCCTCCACCACCAAGGACACTGGGGCAGATGGGCACTGAAGGGCTGAAAGCTGGATTCCCAAGGCCCTTCGTGTGAAGTGGTGCAGAAGAGAAAGGGGATAGTAGCAGAGGGTCAGATGGAAAGGGAGGCACAAGAGCATGGAGCTGGAGGAAGGCGGTGAGTGAGGAGGGGGAGGGCAGGGAGTCTCTTACCGTGCATGTAGGGGTAGACCGTGACAGGCCCCGAGCGGGCACTGCCCGCCTGGTACCAGCTGTAGTCAGCATGCTGTACCCAGGCGCTGGGGGCACAGTGGTACAGGCCTTCGTCCTCCGGCCCCAAGCCATGTAGTCTCAGCCGATGGCTTCGAGGTCCCACCAGCTCCACGCTGACAGGGCCTCCTCCGGGCCGGACCCCCAGCTCTGCCACACCATCCTGGCCCATGCCACCCACCAGCTGGGCAGGGGCAGAGCTCAGCTCCCCGTCCTCTAGTCGCTCCACCCACCAGCTGGCAGCCAGCCGCAGCCCCGGGGGACCACCCCGCACAGAGATGTTGCAGAGCAGGGAGGCAGTCTCCCCACGGTACACTGTGCCTCCTGCTAGCCATGCCACAGCCTCCAGCACCACACCTGCAGAACAAAGGACATGGGGTCAGAGGGAGAAGGGTCAGGGGACGTGGGGTTAGGACCACTGTCCAAGCAACACCCCAGGAAACTCAAGGTGTTCCCACAATCTTAGAAGAAGAGGAGGGTGAGACCGAGAGCTAGAGGCAGCTGAGGGAGAGGGAGAGAGCATAGAAACAGCAGGAAAAGGGTTCTACAAGCCCTGAACCCTGTCAAGCACCCAACCCGCCCCCTCTCACCTTCCTCCCGCACGTGCACGGGGAGGGGCCGGGAGCGGGCACTGGCTGCCTCACGAAGCCGGGCCCCAGACCCTCGGACATAGGCCTTGGCAAGGCAGCGATAGGTGCCTGCATCACCAGGCCTGGCAGCCTCCAGCCTTAGCCGGTAGGTTCTGGAAGCCACCTTCTCCATGGCAATGTGCCGGCCTTCATAGCCAGGGCCCAGGCTGCCCACACCCTCTGTGTCCAGCTGGGCAACCAGGCGGCCAGGCCCAGGTGCCCCTGCAGGTGCCATCTCCCAGCCCACGGAGTACGCAGCGTGACGGCCTGGTGGGGGCAGTGCTCCTGACACATTGCACAGCAGTTCCAAGGGTTCCCCTGGGCCAATCCGACGTTCACCAGGCCCGACGGCCACTGCCAGCTGGCTGGCTGAAACACAGGAGGGGGAAAGGGGTGTCATGGAGGCAGGAGGGGGTACAGAGCACCTGATTCCCCAACTATAGTTCCTTCTTTGACAGCAGCACTTCAGGGCCACCCACCTGCGCCTCACAGGGTATGACCAGCTCCCCCACCCAGGGGCCGGACTCTCACTCCTCAACCGTGGCCCTGCTACCTCCACAACCAGCCTCTGAGCAGAGAAAACCCGTCATGGAGAGAGAGGGAAGCGATGCTAACGGGATTGCTCACTCTGGTGAAGGTGGGCTCCCTGGAATCAGACGATGACCATCTAGTGCCCCTGGTGCCCACTGAGATAGCATGACTCCCAGCTCCCACCCAGGGGTGCAGGGCACTCACACAGTGTCTGCACGTCCACGTGGGCCAGGACAGCCCTCTTCTCTGCGATCTGGGCCCAGCTGCCATCAGGATCCTGAATCCACTCGGCGGCAGTGCAGTGGTAGGTGCCTGCGTCGTCTGCCTGGGCACCCCCAACCACCATGCGGTACCGCTCGGTCCCCTCCTTGCCCAGCCGCAGCTCCCCTGCAGCCAGCCGCTCTGCATAGGGTGCTCCAGCCTCCACAGCCATGTCGGGCCGGAGTCCCACCACCTCCTGCAGAGTCGCTCGCCCCACTGGCGCCTCGGGCACAGCTCGCCCAAAGGACACCGCTAGGTGTGTGTGCTTCTGCGTGCTTGTCCGCGCCAGGCAGCCCAGTGCCAGCTCCTGCCCCTCGTGCACTGTCAGGCGAGGGGGTGAAGTTGGGGCCTGGCGGCCTCGGGGGCCTGGGGGGTAGGCAGACACCTGCAGCACATCTGGAAGAACTGGAGAGAAGAGCGGGAGCAAGGGAGGGCTGGGGACTGGCAGCCCGTATTACTGTTTCCTACATACAACCTGTTTCCCTGAATAGACTGTGAGCTCCTAGAGGGCAAAGACTTCATGTTAAATTATTTCTTCTGTAACCCAGTGGTGCCAAGAACAGTGCTGGGCACACAGCAGGCGCTCAATAAATACTTGTTGAATTTCACAGAACCAGCCCATCGCCTACTCACCCTTATGTTTGGGACTGAGCCCCGTTTGAAATACTCAGAAAAGTGGCTCTGTCTTCCTTCTCAGAAGACAAAGAAACTTAAGAGAGCAAGAATGTCACATGGTCTCACTCCTCCCACCCTACCTCTACTTTCTCCCCCACCTCCCCCAGATCTGGATCCTGGAATCTCCAGGAATGGAGTCTTTCACCCTCTCAGACTCCCCCACCCTCTTGGGGCATGGAGAGGGGACTGGACAGCTTAAGGGCCCTTCCCTCTCTCCCAGGAGGTGGCTCAACAGAATAAGCAGAGCAGTGGACTGGAATGAAGAGATCTGGGTTAGAGTCCAGCCCAGCCGCTAACTTGCTGGGTGACTCTGTGCAAGTCACTTAACCTCTTTGGGCCTCAGGTTCCTCAGTTGAAAAACCTGAGAGTGGTTAGATAGGCCCCCCCTGGCCCTGACTTTTGCCTCTCGGGTGGGTGTGGCCCAGTACCTCTCAGTTCCACCTTGCTGCTGTAGCTGCCTAGGTAGCGGGCATCAGTGGAGGGTGTGTAGCACTCGTAAATGCCAGCGTCCTGGGCCTGCAGGCGAGCAATCTTGAGCAGCACGGCATCACCCTGCAGACGCTGCACCTGCACCTCACCAGCCACCACGCGGGGCCCGAAGACGGCATAGGAGAACCCGGTGTCCCTGGTACTGACAATGCCCAGTGCAGCCTCTGGGGCCTCGGGCCTGTACAGGAACCACTCGAAGTCCTGCTGGGCAGGGCCCTCGTAGCCACTAACATTGCAGGAGATGGAGATGGCTGTGCCAGCCACGCGGTAAAGGGGCCCCTCGGGGACCAGCACCTCCCGGGCACAGCACCCGACTCCTGTAGGGAAGGACAGGAGAAATTGGGGAGGCCCGCGTCCCCACTGCATCCCCCCACTACCAGCACCATTGTTGACCCTTGCTCGTGAAAGGAAAGGAAACCCGGGGAAACACGGAAAGCATGCTGGGTAGTAAGACACCTGGCTCTCAAGAAGGTGGTATAGAGCCAGGTTTGCCTCCAAACCCAGAAACATCCCATTTCTGCCAGGCCAGAAAGGAGTACCTACATCTGCTTCCTGATTTAACCATTCCTTGATTGCCTCCCCCCACCTCTCCACTCCTGTCTGCGGTCCCCTGCTCGGGGCCTGGTCAGTGGATCCTTCTAGCTAAGGGATTCAGAGACCACATATCCCCCTCCTTGGTTGGAGGGGAGCTGTCAAAATCTTGCTCAGAAGGGCTGGTTGGCTCAGTTGTGTCACCTGAGCCAGGGGACTCCAGACAATGGAGCCAGTGGCCCAAGCAGGACAGGGCACAGACCCAGTCAGTTCTCACCATACAATGCCCTCCCCCCTCCAGCTGTGCCATGAGCTCACTGCTTCTCCCACCCCACAGGGCTGCGGAGACAGCTGAGGCTTATGGGGCAAGAACCCGTCTCTGCCCTGGCCCCCGGGGGCAGAAGATCCCCTCCCCGCCAATGCCTGCCATCTTCCTGGCTGGCCCAGCTGATGCACTATGCCCCCTCAACTCCCTAACAAAAGCCTTTATTTGCATATGGCGTGCATCTTTTACATATGGTTCCCTTTCTGTAGGGAGACACTGACCCCAGCTGCCCCATCCCATCTTTCTGTCCTCAGGCCAAAACTCTCTTCTTCACCCTGTCCCCACCCCCAGACCCCAGCCTGCTCCAGCAGATACTCCTGGCAGCCTTGGAGGGCTCAGCTTCTTCTTTCTCTCCCTCCAACCTTCCACAGCCCGGCTAGATAAGACTACAGAACCCCGGACTGTAAGGAGGGCTGGGTCAGCCCCCTGCCTCCATTTTACAGATAAGCAAGGTAAGGCAGGAGAAGTATAATGTCTTGGCCAAGATCCTACTGTCCTTGGATGTCTTGCAGATGCCCCTGCAGAGGGACAAAGCCAGGGAGAAAGATGGGGAACTCCAAGGCCAGGCCTGTGGGGACTGACCTCACCAACTAAAATGGCACCCCAGGGACATACCCAGGGCCTTTCTGCAAGGGCTGGAGGAAAACACCAAGTCTGTGGTCAAATTCAGTCCTCCAGCTCCTCCAGAAGGGCTCCCCTTGACTTTCCCTCCTGAGCTGGGCTAATCTTAGCCCCTGCTTCCTGTGGCCAAGGCACGAGGAGAACTTGCGGTTGCTTGGTTAGAGCAGAGCACAGGCTGGGAGTCAGGAGGTCGGGTTCCAGCCCCAGCCCCATCCCCATCCCCAGCTATATGGCCTGGCCCTGGCCCTTCCTCCCAGGCCTCAGTTTCCACAATGGAGGAGAGCAAAGAGCTTCCACTCTGACAGTGAGTGTGTGACTCAGGAGGACCCTGCCTGAGGGCATTTCATAATCAGAGCCAGCTGAGCTGACATCTTCCCTGGCCTCCAGGCAGACTCTGCTCAGATGGACCCCTCCCAGCTTCCTGGCTCCACAACTGCTGATGCTTGGAGATCCCCATGGGAAAGTCACCCCACCATCTTAGGAACCCAGCTGCCAGGCCACTGTCTCTCCCCAGCCAGGTCCCCTCCTCGGTGTTAGAGAGGGAAGTGAAAGAGCAAAGAGGCCTGCTTTGGAGTCAGATGGATCTGGGTTCAAATCCCAGCCCCAACAATCACGAGACGTGTTCGCTGGGACAAGTTACTTCATTTTCCTCATCTGTGAAATGAACGTTTAAGTGCCTGCACGCAGTGGGCGCTCAGATCCCGGCAGGCTCTTCCATCTCTGAGCACCACATTACGCCACCTCCCCTGGGTTCCTCTCTGCTCCACGCTGCCCACTGGGGAAAACAGGCCAAGCGCTAGGCAACCAGGCCCCACAGCTCCTTCCTCTGTACACCCTCCTGCCTCCCTCCCAGGTCCCCGCAGAGAGGACTCATTCTAGTCCCACAGGGGCCAGAGACCTATGCAGCAGGGGGAGACTCTGCTTGGCGCTGCAGTGGAGCTCTGGTCCAGAAATAGGTAGCTGGGGCTACGTCAGCCTGCACCTTGACTACGGCAGCTCTGAATTCTGGCGACGAGGCCACCCCCAGCCCCCCCTTGTACTCTTGTTTCAAGGGCCTCAGTCTCCTGAACATCTGTACAGGTATCGCTGCCTTCGTGCCATACTCCTTCCCAGACCGCCTTCTACAGGGAACCCTCCAGTTCAGGCCAAAACCAATTCCACTGTCACTGCCCCCATGCATCCAGTAGCGGTGGCCCAGAACACCCCCCCGTGAACACCCACCACGACAGGCACTGGGTGCTTGGAGATCCCAGCAGCTGTCTCCACGGAGCCTGGTTTCTCCTAAGGCAGGGAAGCTGGGACTAGGGGGGTGTGACAACCAGTGGGAGGCTACAGAGCCAAGTGCCATCTGGAAGAGGGAAAGTGGGGCAAAGGGAGACCTGCCCAGAGTGGAGATGGGGGTGAGAGAGGGAACTGCCCCCAAACTCAGATGATGAAGGGGGGGTAAGAACCGACCCCTGGGCCTCCAGCCAACCCCAGGCAATGATGAAGCCGGGCAGGCACTGCCCACGCAGGGCGGGCACCCAAGGCTGGGCCTGAAGCTGACTGAGGCAGAGATGATTCTCAGCATTTGGGCGCAGTGACCCCAAGACCTGAGTATGCCGGCCTAGAAGTGGGGCCTGGCTCCCGGAGGCCTGGCCGTCCCTGGGGGAGGCACCTCAGTGGGTCCTCACTGTGCCCCAGTCAGGGGCCTAGAGCTGGGGAGCCTTCACCACCCCCCAAGACCGGCTCGGCGGACGGCCACAAAAAGGCAGCTGGGCGTCGAGCCCAGGGAAGCTGGAGGCGCCCCTGATGGAGAAGGAGGGTGCGAGGGGCTCCGAAATGCTGGGGTGACGGCCGGACTGGTAGCCAGGTGCCAGATATCTGCCCGGCGGGGCTGAGGGCCAGGGCGGGGGCCGGGCTTACCCAGCATTAGCAGCAGCAGCAGCGGAGGACCGAGAGCGCCCATCCTGCGCGGCCCGCTCTGGGGAGGCTCCGGGGGATGGCGCGGGCTCTGGGTGGCAGGGAACTCGGGGGGCGCATGCCCAGGTGGGGGGCACGAAGCGGTGCAGTGAGGCGTGGGTGCGCAGAGCCGAGCTGAGCCGAGCGGGAGCTTCCAAGTCCCCTCCTTCCTCCCCTCCTCCTTTCTTCCTCCTCCCCCCGCTTTCCCTCCCGCCTCGGCGACTCCGAGGACCATTCCCGCCCCGCCCTGCCCGGGCCCCGCCCCCGCCCTGGCCCCCGGCTCCCGACCCTGCCCCGGTCCCCAACCCTGCCTTGACCCGTCCTGACCCTGGCCCAGCCCTGGTCCCCGGCTCCGTCCCTACCCAGGTCCTGGACCTCAGCCCGGGCTCCGCTCGCACCTGTTCCCGGCTCCGCCCTGACCCCGGCCCAAGCCCCGCCCACCTAGGTCCTGGCTCCACCCCTACAGACCCCGCCCCCGCCCCGCCCGACCCCGGCCCCGGCTCCGCCCCGACGCCGACCAGCTCAAACTGGAGGCTCCTGGGCCCTGCTAAATCTCCACCCAGCCCTGCGCAGAGTGCACCCTCACCTCGCACCTGCCGGCCTTTCCCTGAGAATTGGGTGCCGGGGCCCTGCGGTCGGTGAGGTGACTAAAGCCACCCACTTAGAATCCAGTTATTTGCTCTGGGCCGCTAGGCCTCGCAGCAAACTCCGCCGAAGTGGCGATGGGCGGGACCCAGGGCTTCCGGAGCGCGGAGGATCTGGCTTGAAAGGCGTGTCAGGGCTCCGCAAGGTCACGGGAGACCGGTTTGCCACCCCCTCTGGGCAGAACCAGAGGAAGTGGGTTAGGAGAGTGGGCCGTCTGGGCGCCGTCACTTCTTGATTGGTGATCCTGGTCAAGTTGCTTAACCTCTTTCAACCTCAGTTTTCTTGTGGGCAAATTGAAGTGGGGTGACATCCACCCCAAAGGGTTTTTGTGACGATTAATTGAGATAATGTACATAAGGTGTTGGGCACAGGATAACACGAAATAGAAGATAGGGTGTGTGTTTTTTCCTTTGTTTTTGAATTTTTATTTAAACTGCATGCTAAGAGGTTTCCTTTAGGCCTAAAGAGAGGGTGAGCCTGGGGTTTAGGTGAAGGTGTAGCTGTTTCCAGGGAGGAGAGAAGGGCCTCGCTCTGCACTGGGACAGGTGGCTGGGGCCTGCCGGGAGGTGGGAGAACGGAAGAGGCATCTTTCCCAGGTGCTCTGTCTCTTCCTCAACTATGGAGAAGGTGGAGAGTGGGGAGGAGCAGGAAGTGTGTGGCCGGAGTGCGGGGAAGCGACAGCCCTGTCTGCTAAGCTAAGGCTTTCAGTGGGAAGTGACCCCAGAGCACCTTCACCGTCCAACCCCCTACCTGTCCCTGTTCATCGCCCACCCTCCCACTCACTCCCACCGCCTTTTATGGAGGAGGAAACTGAAGCCCTGAGAGGGGAAGTGACACAGGCCAGAACAGACCTTTCTTGACTCTGTCCCCAGAGCCTGGCACAGAGCCTGGCTCCGAGGAGGTGCTCAGTTGAAGCCACATTCAGAGAGAGACCAAAGAAACACTGAGGCAGAATGCTGGGGACCCCAAGGGAAATCAGTACCTCCCCTCCCAGTACTTCCAGGACTAGCCCAGGAACAGAGCAGCAGGTGCCTGTTTCCTCCTACTTTCACATGTCCACAGCCTGATTTCTCCAGATCCCTTTCACCTAAATCCATCCACAGGGCACATTGAGCTATGAAAACTGAAGAACATAGGGAAGCTTTTGGAGGAAAACCACTCTCCCTTTATTTGGGAGTGGAGTGCACTTAATGCCTTCCTGGTGCTTGAGAGATGTTGCTGATCATCGTCATCCTAGATGCCATTTTGGCGATACCTACACAATAAGGCCCTTTGGGGTATTATTTCTAGTCTTTACAGCATATTTTGCCAGATGGTGTCATCTAACAGAGAAACCTGAGGTTCAAGAGAAGTTAAGCATTTTGCCCAAGGCCATACAGCTTTTAAGCCACCAAGGTATGACGAGCTCTGCCCCAAATCTTCCCACCCCACTGTCTCTCTTCCCAAGCCTCTCCCCGCTAGAAACTCATTCATTCAACAAATACTGATTGGGCCAGGCCTCATGCTGGGCACTGGAGAGGCCGTGGTAAACAAGGTCCATGTGGTCCCCTGCCTTCAGGGAACATACTGTCATTCCTGGGAGACATACCATAAGCAAGTAATAACCAACCGCCAGTATGAGTGTTATGAGAGGGGACACTTAAGGGAGCTGAGAGTACCCTATGGCTTGGGGCTGGGAGGGAGCTGGGGGCAGGAAGGTGTTGAGGGCTGGGCTGGTGTCTCCAGTGGGGAAGAGGCCCTGGGAGAACAGCTTCTTCCACACGCTCCTCCCCAGACTGAGAGTTCCGAAGGCCACCAGCAGGGGGAGCCCATAGCCCAGGCCTGAGTTGCCCAGCAGATGTTTATGTAACTGGGAAAACTGGGGGGAGGAGAGCAAAGCCCCAGGCAGGAGGCGCTTCACACAGACAGACAGACGTATGTACCCACAATAACACAGAGGAGCTTCATACAGAAGGATGGCACACACACACCCCCACAGATGATGCACAGACACAGATACACACGACACATGCACACACTGCAGAGGAGGGTTATATGGCGTAGACTGGAGAGCACTCCTGTACGCCCCCATCTGGCCCATAAAAAAACTACACAGGCTTATCCCCCACCTTAGCTGATGCCTGTGCGGGGTGGCAGGCGGCGGGGTTGTGCAGGGAAAGGAGGAGCAGCCTTTCAATGCGTCTCAGGCCAGCCTGAGACAAGAGGGAGGGAGCCTGGGGTTGCAGAGACACTGGGTGAGGGCTGCAGTAGTGACCACGGGGGGCTGTGTCGTCTCTCTGCCGTTACCAGTTTCCCACTCACCCTGCAGTTACCACCAGGTGTGGGCATACATCAGACGCCAGTCCTATGTTTCACATGCTTATTTAATTGGTTTCCCCTCAAGATGACATATGTGCAAGGCACCGAGATGGCGCTGAGGTGTCCTGAGTATCATTAGAGATAATTAAGACCCATGCTCTGCCCTAAAGCAGTTTATAATCTGGCTGAGATGTCACACAGTACAGTCACGATCAGTGGAGACATGGTTCTCAGAGAGGTGCAAAGACGGGCCCGTCAACGTAGTCTGACCTGTGCCAGGTGTGTAACGAGCTCAGCTAATCCTCGCCAGCCCGTGTGAGGGTAGTACCATTATTATCCCCGTGAGGAAACTGAGGCGTACAGAAGTTAACATGTCCAAGGTTAATAGATGAGTTACTGTCCAAACTCGGATTTGAACCTAGGATTGTCTGAGTGTGAAGGAGCATGTGCTTCTAACCCCTGTTACATGGCTTCTTAAAGGCGAACATCACCAGAGACAAAGTTAAACATGGACCCAGCATGCACAAATACACACTCAGCTATCGGCCCAGACAAGGCCCTGGAGACAGAGTGACAAACACATCAAAGAAACAAGCACACGGCCCCACCAGACACTAGACATACAGAAATGCTAGAAAAACGCATGTAGTACTCAGCTTGCTCTCTTCTCAATGTGTATGAATCCTAGCCTGGGGGAACTAAGGATCACACACAAGAATGTCCTGTGATTTGTGTATGTCTATAAAGCCTTGACCCATACTGCCCTGATGGGCCCTGTGTTCCCACCCTCACAAAAGGGAAGATTCTCTCTGCTGACTTGCTGAGAGGCTCAAGCAAAGAGACAGAGACAGAGGTAGAGCAAAAACCTACCTTCACCCTGACAACCAACTCATACAGAGACGCACTTAAACAGAGATGCACCCACAGGGACCTGGACACGCACAAAGATAAACCCACAGACATTATGCACACCCAAACACACTCACAGAACCACAAAGCCATCTCCCACACCCACACACATTCACGCCAGACCCTCTCCCTCCTTCCCCCCTAGCCAGGCATCTACACCCTCATGGTGGACTCTGTGTGTGTATATCTACTCCCTGACCCTTCCTCTGGCCTGGCTGAGCCCGCACTCCTGCCCAAGTTCTCAAACCCTATGCCAAGGGGGCGGCACAGCTGTTCAAGAATAGAAGAGCCACAGTGCCACTGCTGGCCTTGGCACGACCTGGCCCTGACTCCCGTGGAGGCCCTGCCATTTCTATACCCAGGATCAGTGCCAGCTGCCGCCCACTCCGGAATGCCGTGGATGGATCCCTCTGAGCTGGAATCCCCTCATCCTCCCTCCCCTGGCAAGTCCCTTGTTCCTCAGTCCCATAGGACTGGGTGCCTGGGCTCCACCCCAGATGCTCCCCCATCCCTCTCCTCCGTTCCCAGCCAACTGAGAGGGAGCTGATGGTGCAGACATATGTCTGGGGGGTAGCACGGGGCTGAGGCAACCCCCACTGTGTGATATCACTTATTCCCCAACCTGAGCAGCCTGGGGTGTGGGAAGGGGGATAGATCAAGGGCAGAAGATAGCAGTGGTTTGGCTAGACAGAGGTTTGTGGGCTGTGTGTTTTAGATGAGCCTCGGGGGGCAGGAGGTGGTTATGGCCAGGTGGCTGCCTCTGAGTCACTGAGGTTGAGCAAGAGACAGTTTTGGAGAACAGGTCATTTATGAGTTTGTCCACACCCATCTCTGGGTGAGGTAAGGAGGAGGCACTGATCATTGCTAATACTTGCTGAGCTCCTGCTCTGTGCTGGACTGTTCTCAGAACTCTGTGCACTTGCTCACTCCTCACAACACCCCGTAGGGTGAGCACCTGTTTGCAGATGGGAGACAGAGGCCCAGAGAGCTTAGATCACTTACCCAAGGTCACCTGGCTACCGAATGGCAGCGTCCAGATTCAAGGGCAAGCTGACACCCGGACTTACGCTCCTAACATTCTTCCTCCTGCTTCCCTGACCTGCACACACTTATTCGTATCACACCTGCACGCACATACGCCCCCTACACACACACACAACTGGTGCCTATGCAACCTTTTAAAATAACCGTCTTTTTCCACTAATGTATCTTCTGCTCCCAGCACATAGTGGGTGTTCAATAAATGTTTGTTGAATGAATGAATGCAGTGCTGGAGGCCCAGGAAAGGAGGAATCAATGAGAGCGTTGTGTGTGTGGTGATATGGGGGGATTTCTTGCACACGCAGAGTCCCCTAGAGCTGCGAATGATCTTGAAGGCTCACTCCTAACTCTGGGGTCCCAACCCTTCAAAGCGCCTTGGGTGGGGAAAGAGGGATAGAACTGGGGTTCACAGGGTTTCCTGAAGTGGAAGGGGGTCTTCACTCTCCCCTTGATCAGAACAGAGGATGGGGGGATGAGAGGAGAGCTTGGGGAGAGGGTGTGGGGGCACATGGCCACTCAGCCATCTCAGCCAAGCTCAGCTCCTGTCCTTCACCATCCACAGGGCTGCGTGTTCTTCCCAGGCCTTCCTCCCACAGCCCTGCCTCCTCCACTGTCCACACCTGGGCTCTCCAGGAACCCGGCACCCCTTGACTATTCTGGACAAGTCCCTTTTTCCCTAGTCCAACTGAAACAAGGGTGGAATTTTTCCAAAGCTCTCTGTTGGGAAAGTGAAGGGAAAACAAAGCCAGAAATAAAGATTACACAAACAAGGAAGCAGATGGGACGGTGGGGGAGAAAGCACTCACCGTGGGAGAAAGGGCCCAGAGACCTGGAGCTGACATGACCCTGCCCTTGCTCCCACAGCACCCTGTCCTCCGCCTGTGATGGCGTTTCCCACTCTGCTTTGTCACTCCAGGGCTTGCTTGTATCTTTCTGCCTC